TAAATTACCTCTGTAACGCAGTGCATAGTGAAATATTAAACAAATAAAACACACAGAATAGTGAGCCTCTGCCTCCCATCCTGCCCAATGACAGCAGCAAGGCACTGTCCTGACCTGACTGCAGCAGTGTGAGCTGAAAGCCCCCCAGGCACTTTGCATATATTTCAGTGCAGAATACGCCCTTTTCTGAAGAAGATTAAGCTCTCATCTTTTAAGCTTTGAAATGAAATGAAAGTATTTCAATCTTTTTATTGCAGGGACGCTGTATTTTAAAGACAATTCACTTTTTTTTTTTTTTAAACGTGGAATGGTTTTAGGTTAAAAGAGACAAAAGGGGGAAAAAGGCTTTTTTGGTTTTTTTGCTAATAAACTTTATATCTAGAAAGACGGAAGCAAAATAAAAATTCACTGTTTGGTAGAAAATAAGGAATCATCATATGTATTTTAGTATAATGCTATGCACATAGGAATGAGGAAAACAACTGCAACATAAGAATATTAAACTCCTAACGAACTCCAAGCGTTTAAATATGGCTTTCAGGGAAACAGAGTATTTAAAAGACTGGGAAATTACTTCATCACTGTGTATCGGTGCTTATCCACAGCAGCTACATCAGGGTGTTTTTCTACTTCAATATCAAACTAATAACAAGATCCAGCAGCTGAAGCTGAACGAATTCAACCTCCACGTGAGATTAAATTTCCAAGCTCTGTCAAAATCATTTCACTGGAAGAGATGAAGTTTTAGCTTTAAAATGCATTTTAAAGCAGCTTTTGAATTAGACTATCTGCTCATACGTGCAGGGATTTTAATGCTCCTGCTCCTTTCCTTCCCATGGGAGGCACGGAGAGGTTTGGTCTGTGTTGCCCTCAAGGTGCCCATCACATGCAGAGCTCTGCTGAAAGGCACTGACTGGAGGAAAATCTTCTGCAGGGCTTCAGCTGATCACCTGCAGGGATGGAGAGGATGTTTTTTCCTTCATTACCTGTCAGGCTCACTCAGGAATCAGGAATTTTCTCCACCTTCAGAAACCGGCCATAGGCAAGGGTCTGCTCCTGAGGTGGACAGGACAGCCTCATTTCTCAGAGTCTGTCTTGCTCCCACGTGTTTTAGTCACAGAACTGGAAACCCTGAAATAGCAAGGGTTGTTCTTCCCCAGGTCACACAGGCTGGAGAATTTTTGGTCCCTCTCTCTCCGTTTTGGCAAACAATTTAATTAGGTAATAAATACTACCTAATTAGCCCCATGCCACTGCAGTAAACTCAGACATCTATCCTCTGGGATGGAGTTTAATGACTGAAAAGCTTTCCTTGGTTGCTAACACTGAAGGTGTCAGCAGAGTAATGACCCTGCCTGGTCACAGCCTCTAAGGAAAGTAGTCCCATTGAGGTCAGCAACACCCCTCTTAAAATAGTGCACAGGAGGCATACTGCATGTGGATGGAATTTGCAATACTGAACCCATAAAAACAGAATATAGTGACAGTATTTTGCTCTGCACTCAGTAATTCACTGGCCAGGCTTTTTTCCTGTTTTCCACGGCAACATAACTGTTAGTTTTAACAAAACAGTTTTGTCCCAGGCCGAATTAATTTCTTTACAGCAATGAAGTGAGGTTTTGTTCTTAGCTCTTTATTTCTGCATATCTATAAAGTTGCTGAACTTCATCTGCTGGGTAAAATTATCCATCATGAAAATACAATTAGAAAATTGTATTTCAGAATTTTTGGATATTTCTGCTTCTTTGCCAAGATATGCAAGGTTGTGTATGGATATTTACAAGATATGTATGTGATTTGCACATTTCTATTTGTATGTTTGCATTCATATGGATAAATAAATGCTGCTCCACTGGTACTACTGTTCCACTGGGACTTTCTGCACCTTGTGAAATAAACACCTGTTCTTAAGGGTGCATATTGCTGCAGGTTCCTCACCAAATGCTATTTATTATAGTCTGTATTCTGAATAACTGAAATCCCAGCAGGAATTGATGTCCAAACCCTCCTACCTGTTTCAGTGACAAGAATCACAAGCAGGTTCTGAGTAAAGGACTGGCACAGCAGGAGCCTGCCAACATTTTTTGCCAGACAAGAAGACTGTTGTGGGGACACCTGCCAGCTCTTGAAAACTATGAATAGAGACAACTGGAGAGGAAATAAGTGTCTGTCTCATAATTCTACTGGAATATACTGGCTCTGAACCAATTCCTACACTGAAGTCAGTGACACTGCACGGAGAAGAAGCCAGGGCAGACTTTGTGCTTGAATATTTTTAGACACGGCAGGGTAGGTAAAATATAGATTCTGTCCTTTGTAATCTCTGCATGCAGAATAGGAAAGTCTCCCTGGGTCACCTGTTTATCATCACAATCACTTCCAACTGTTGCATTTGCACATTCCACAGAGAGGAATACTGAAAATATTAAGTTGTTTCAAAGTCAGGGAGCTCCGATGAGCTTTAAGTAGTCTCTGTACCATCACAATTCATGACACCAGAACTATGAGAAGCTTTCTACTGAAAGCAAGTTTTGCTTTAAATTGGGGCATTAGAGATAACTGTATTTATGTCTTTACATCAAAGATTCACAAGTCTTCATCTTTTTGTTCCCCACATGTGAATTTCCTGAAAATACTTTTGTGAACAGCACAAATGACAGAATATGTCACATTTAAGTGTTTGTACCTCAGTTTAAGTAAAGAGAGGTCCTTATATACCTGATTGTCTCCTCACTAAATTGGGAGAATTAGGCTATCCTAAAAACAAAGTTGCCATAGTGTTTCATGATAGAAACTATGGAAACTATAGAAACCTCAAATATGAGGTTTGCTACCAAATGCCAATAAAATATGCTCCTTCTTTTAAATGTAATCATGTCTTTAGCCTTTCCTAAGTCCTGCTGTCAGAATATGTGGTTCTTCAAACCATATATGTGGGAGGCTGGAGAAAATATTTGCAAGTTAAGGCATATCAGACCGTAGGCTGCTGTAGTTTTCATGTGTTGTGGAATGGCTTTTGATTGCTTGGCTTTTTGAGTGCAAAAAGGGTGTACAACTTCATAAAAGGCTCTCCCACGTGCAGTGTGATGGCAGGACACATCCTGCACTCATTTAATATCTGCCACACTCCCGATACCTCTGCCAGGATGAGAAATGTCACTTTGGAACTTTAGCAGGGGAGATACGTGGTGCTGCCCACTGTTAATTGTCTTGTATTAACTCCAGTAAAACGCTGTTAAGTGAAAAACGACCAAAAAAAAAAAAAAAAAAAAAAAAAAAAAAAAAAAAAAAAAAAAAGTAGGAGTAATTGTGAATGAAGTCCAAACTGAAAAGCTTCTGGCTCATGCAGCTGCAGAGTGTGTGACCTCTCCGGGGTTTGATAGGGAAAGGTTGCCATGGGAATGGTGTGGCATTGTTTGCGGCTGACTTCAGCTTTTATTGTTGTGCTCTGATTACAGCTTTTGTTTCACTGTGAAGTATGGTTGTTGCATGCCAGCTTGAAACAAAGATGCATTTACAGGCAGCGGTGGAGTTCAAATGATTTCCATAATTAGAGATATCACTGCTTTAAGCAAGGGAAAGAAACTTCTGTGTTGCTATTTCAGAAAAAGCAAAGTTTTTCGGTATAAATTTAAAATGTGCTTAGAAAGGAAGAAACTTCCTAGTAAAACTCGTTAAACATCATTGGGGGAAATAGTCATTTGCTACCAGGACCGATGGCAAAAGGCTGTGAGGCAGCAGCTGAGTCTCCAGGTGAAGGAGGCTCAGGTATCCCAGTCCAGCTGTGGGATATGCAGACCTCGAGTTTTTGCTACATTAGCAAAGTATACACAGACATATATCAACATCTTGATTTACTACATCCTTAAAGCTTGTTAGCTCCAGGATGTCCTTGAGTAAGGGAAGCCAACTGTGCTATGTGTTCTAAGGGCACTGCTGACTCACATTCGTATTTAATTTGCCATCAGCCAGGGCCCCCAGTCCTTTTCCAAGGTGTTTCTCTCCAGTGCCATTCCAGAATCTGTCCATACAACCAGGGTTGATCTGTTCCAGGTGCAGAATCTGGCACTTGGCCTATTGAACATCACGTGGCTGGTGAATGCCAGTTTGTAGAATCACAAATCACAAAACAGTTTGGGTTGGAAGGGACTCAAATCCCATCCAGTGCCACTCCCTGCCATGGGCAGGGACACCTTCCATTGTCCCAGGCTGCTCTAAGCCCCGTCCAACCTGGCCTTGGACACTTCCAGGGATCCAGAGGCAGCCACAGCCTCTCTGGGCCAGGGCCTCCCCGCCCTCACGGGAAATAATTTATTTACAATATGCAACATTTCCTTCCCGGCTGCAGCCTCCGCATTAAATACGAGATTAAATCCCCAGCAATCGGACTACAACTCCCATCATGCCCCGCGCCCCCGCCCCTGCCCCCCACGCCGCACTACATGTCCCGGCAGGCCGCGGGGCGGCGCGGGCGGTGGCGCGGCGGCGCATGCGCAGTGCGGGTGCCGGCGGTGCGGACGGAGGCGGCGGCGGGACCAGCCCGTTCCCGGTGCGGGGCTCGGGAGCGGGGCCGGGAGCGGGCTCGGGGAGCGCCCGGCTCTCCTCACGGGGCTCCCGCATTGCCACCACTCCAGTAAGTGCCTCGGCCCGGGGCGGGGCTCGGCCCGCCCTGGGTGATGCCCTTCCTTCCGCGCCTGCCCGGTGTGTGACCGCGCAGGGCACTGTCCTGCTCCCTGTCGCTCCCTTTTTTCCTTTCCGTTTTCCCTGGAAGGCGCTCGGCGGCGCGGGGGGCTCTGCCGGCGGCGTGGGGAGCTCGGGTGGCGCAGGCAGGGCGCTGTCACAGCCCCAGAGGTAAGAGCAGAGGTGATCTCATTGCTCGTCACGCTCCGCTCTCCCCCGGCCGCTGGGCTGTGGGAGCACGCCGGCACGGAGCGATGTTATCCGGGCACAGCCCGCGGGGATGCTGTGCGGGGCTGTGCGCTCCCCCTGCGCCCTCCCTCGGCTCGCCTCGCCTTTGGGATCCCCCGAAGGACAGCTCAGTGCGGCTGGGACAGCCGGCCTGTGCTCCCGGGTTTGTTTTTGCCGTTGGAAGGCACAAGTTTTGGACGGGGATGTGTGGGGAGGCTGCTGGCACGCTCTGAGCCCTGCGCTGGGTTAGCTGCGAGCGGGGCTGGTTATTTACTGAACCGAAGTGTCTTTAAATGGATAACTTGGCTATAAATGAATGTTAAACTGTAACCACTGTTGTTATAGGCGCAGTTTTTATCACCTGTAAAATTCCAGATAGGCATTTGACATGCTGCTAAACTTAACACAGACTTAAATTCCGCATGTGTTGTGCAGCTCCCTTGGGAGGAACTAATGCATGACCTTCATAAAAGGCATTATGTTATTGCATCAAATGTTTGCAAAGTAGCATCAAGAAGACGGCATTTTTCTCTTTGGCAGGCTGCTGCTTTGAGGCCTTCTGTAAGAAAAATGTCCAATTTTCACTAAGCAGTGTATTGTGTTTATAATCAAGCAGAATGAACAGTCTTAAAGTGAGGAAGCAGTTATTGCTTTGTTACACTGAGCACCTGAATTAGGCATCAGCAGAGCGGTGTTACCTGAGTAAAGCTGAGAGGTAGAATATTTTAATTTTTTTTTAGATTCTTAAGAGCTACCTCTCTCCATGCTTCACCTTCTTCTCAAAGCAGAGTACTTTCAAAGAGACTGCTATGCATAGAGCAAGCTGAACAGCATCAACTTCTTTGTCTTCTGACAAATTCCTTGCTTTCTTGACAGAGACTGTAATGTCTATAAAGATAAATTTTCTCTTCTCCTTACCCAATCTCATCCGTGACCCTGTAGGACAGAGCCGTATTTGCTCATGCAATTTTGGGGCTTATGATGTGTGAGGAGCTGCTTCTTACTGTTGAAACTAAATCAACAGGATTTGTTAGGTTTTGTGGCTTGGTTTTTTGATTTTTTTAATATATTTGGGCTGCATTCATTTTGATGCAGCATAAACACAATCCTAACCGAGCTGGAAGTGTGTGTGGTAACTTCGACTGGTTGCTGTCTCATGCGTTATTCTGTCTTATGGAACACTGAACTTGCATTTTAGGTCCATTCAGTCTTGTTTCCTCCTACTTGTTATTTTTAGTTGAGAGAGTCACAGCAGTAACAATACATGAAACTGTCAGGTTTGTGAAGCACAGAAGTGTAGAAGTGCAGTTTTCCCATTTGTCACATGAGGAAGTGTTAGAAGTGGGGTGAAATCTCTTTGGTAGGGAGAGATTCTGGGCCTGGCTGATATTTGGAGGAGAGTCTTAATTCAGGGCTAGATAAGCACTGATGCAGAAAGTGATAATTCAGGAAATAATACATGGGGGTTTTATGTGTCCTGGATATCACTGAGTGCTACACTGTTGGAATCAGCTTTGCATAAAATAATAAACCTTTGTGTGACTCACTGAGTTCTATTTGCAGTTATCGAGTGTTGTGATTTGGTTTTATGAGTGTAGAAGATTTAATTCCAAATTCGTAAATTCTAAAGACATCTATTTTCTTGAGCTATTTCTCTGCTTTAAAACTACATTTAGCCTCATGTTCCATTGCATAACTCTGCATTTTTAGAGTGAAATTAAAGCAAAAGATGCACAGTGGGTCACTGGCAGGTGTAATGTATTGCTGAGATGTTTCAGAGGAGCAGATGCTTTCATACAGATTAGAGAACAGGCCAAGAAGAATCATTGTATAAAGAAAATAAGCAGCATCTTCATGCTTTCCCACCTCCTCCTTCTCTCCTCCCATATTTATTTTTTCTCAGGAGTAGTAGCTGAGTGACAGAAGACAGACACACACATGGGGAATACAGAAGGCATGTGCATGAGGAAGAGACCTGAATGCAGGAAAAGGCCTTGTTTTTTCCAGGTAGCTGGAGCTTGTTCCAGAAGGCAGCAGAGCTATCTCAGCTCAAATAAAGGCTGACTGCCTGTCAGAGAGTTGGTGTAGAAGAGAGGAAGTGCAGAAGTCAGTTTTTATTGACTGTAACAGATTAGAAAGAACTTGAGGACATTACTGAAATAAGAACAGATCTATGCTTGTAACACAGTCTCCAGTGCAGTGTTGGATGTAGCCCAAACTGCCAGGCCTGCAAAATTCTTAATCTATTTTAGTAGATTTAGAATTCCATCGATGTCTTTATTACTGACTGTTCCTGGTTATTTAAGCTGACAGTTATCATAGTAAATGCAGTTCCTCCAAAGTGCAGCAGACCAGCAGTGTTGGGGAGTGAGTACATGTTCTAATGAGAATTTTCCTTGCATGCTCTGCTGTGCTTTTGGATGTATCCAGCTCTACATCAGTGTTTAGACAAACAATTGCTTATGATATGAGAGCATGTCCTGCAAGATGGGTTTTGTCAGGTGGTTTTTTTTTTTCACTGATAATTATGAACAATAGGAACACTCAGAAAATATTTACTGGGGTTTCGAGCCAAGTGAACCTTGTGCAGTGGTATAATTGCATGAATATACAAGTTATTTCAGTGCCAAAATGGGAATTTAGGTAACTAGCTTTAGCATAAAACATTTTTTACAGCGTGGAACAAGTGCTTAAGAAGTCACCAGGAAATTATACAAAGAAACACAACAATCAGTACATGTATTCTTTTGGTTTTGAAGCTAAATGCAATGGGACATGGCTAGAAGCATTGCTGTCAATGATTTATAAAATTATACAGGAAACCTAAATATCATAATCCTAGTGAGCTTATTTGACGTATGAAAATAATGCAACTGCTTTAAAAAAGTCACCTGCTGAAGAGGTCTAAGTGACAAGAATTGTTCAGGTTTTGAAGTTATACTTCAATGCAGAGAATCACTGATGTGAATTGGAATGGAGGATATGGCTGAGCTGCTTCAAATTTTTTTTCTGCTCTTACACCGATCTTTCAAATTAGGACTTTGAAAATGTACAGGTCTAAGGTCATTTTGATACACGCTGTACCCTAACTGTGAGAAATATTTAGGTGCGTGTTGGTATAGGGCTCAATTCTATAAATAACACTTTCCTCTCAGTGCTAGGTAAAGCAGCACGGTTTTGTTGCTGTTGAGGAAGGAAGCTGGTTCATTGTCTCAGCACTAAGCAGCATTTTCTCCCTCCAGGGACTTGCAGAAGCATCTAGAATGTGTAGGTGTTTCTTTAATCTTGGAGAAGGAACTTATTAAGCTTTCTGGTGCAGAACTGTATGAGCCACTTATTCTTAGCAGATGTTATCTGCACAAGTAGGGAGTTGCAGGTCTGGTAGACATTTGTGGCATTCAACAGTTTAAACAGTTTTCAGGTTTGAACATATGCCTTTGCCTTAAAATCTGAATAGTTTCAGGTATTTTATGTAGAAGAAAGGTTGTTCAATAGTGAGGTTGCTGCTCTAGGACTTGGGAAACAGGTTCAGCTCACTGTGTTGCCAAAAAGCTTCCTGTGTGGCCTGGGACAAGCTGCTTCTGTGTCCCTCCATTCTCCTACTGAGAGTGCTGAGCAGCAGCTCTGCATCACAGGGGTGTTCAGGGATGGCAGGTTGGATGTGGCCAGGGAGGTGCTGATGTGGGGCACAGAGCTCCCTAGTGCTCCAGAAGCTGGAGGCACTGCCCAAGTTAAAAAACGGGGTAAGCTCCAGGCAGGAGGAGGAAAACCAGGAAAATACAGTGGAAAAAAGGTTTTGACTGGAAATCTCTGGTGTCACTTAGAGAAAGCAAGTCCCTAAAACTTTTAGGAGCGCTGCATGGCCTTGTTTGTTTAACAGAATTTTAAAACAATGCTTAAAATACCCACACAAACATGTAAATCTTTTATGTTATGGTTCTGCCACACAGGGGACAGTAGCAAAGCTCTCTCTGTTGCTTTGCTGGTTGTTCTCTTCTTTGGAAGATGCTTTTAATTCTAGCTAACCATTGCATCCAGATGTTTTGGATATCAATTTAGCTCATTTTTCTGCTGGCATGTAAGCAGAATCTTTGCAATTGGGCCTGATTTACTGACTTTTCATGTGAAAGAGGTTGAGCTTTTCTACTTCCCCACTCTCCCAAAGGGAAAAAAATTTGCAGCCACCTCTAATGAGCAGTGTCTTTAGTAATGTTATAGAGTTAAAAGTATTTTGGATTTTAAATATTTCTGGTGAAAATAGGGCACTGTCATTGCTATAAATTGAAAATACAGACTAGACAGCAATTATCAAGCTTTGCAAACATGTTTTCATTGTTGAGAGTCAACACTCCCAGGAATAGTCTCTGTATACTGACAGATAGGTGGTAAATTAATTCATTTAATATGTAATTGTTTTGATGTGTATGCTCTCCCTGGGTGCTTTGGTACCCACCACATTTACATCCCATGTCCAAGAAAATGTGTTGGAACTTGTTCAGACTAGTGACTTAATTAAGTGTTCTTCTGTTAAGCACTAAAACAGTTACATGCCAGGTTTGTTGTAAGAGTGAGCAGTCCTCTTAAAACTACACTTCAAAAGATGTTGTTCAATATGTTGGTTAACTCTTTAGAGAGACTGAGAATGACAAATGGAAACTTAGGCTGGGCTAATAATTCAGCTGGCAAGTTATTCCTATATCTGGTAGACTATGCCTGTGTGTGCAGCAGTGCTGGAAGGTTAGGTAACTTAAAGGATGTTAAAAGTGTGTCTGCTGATTTAGGTCTTCAGGGTTTGGTTATCTTGATTTTTTTATCATTAACCTTTTTCTTTTGTTTCTCCCTTAAATCAAGTTGGCTGTAGATGCTGTAATTTATCTATACTGTCTTCCTACTTTGTGCTGGTGCCTTGATTTTTGGGTGGAAGAGCGTGATTCCTTCAGGAGGTTCATTTGCTGCCTTTTTGTGGGAGGCAGCAGTACAGAGTGTTGAAAACCAGCCTGTTGCATGCTCGTGGTATATCCAGGATTTCCAGGCTTGCTGGATGTACACAGGACTTGGGATTCTCCTGCCTCATTGTGTGTAGGTCAGACAGCAATCCCACAAAATGCCAGGAGCCTGCCTGGTGTTTTTGGGATTATTCTGTGGGTGGAGGGCTGTTATTCTCCCTGCACACCATAACTGAGGTTTTGAGAAACGCCTTTGTCAGTGCAGAGCAGCAGCTGGGCAGTCACTGGTGTTTGTTCCATCCCACAAATGAGGAGGAAGGTGAGGCAGAAGGCCACAACCAGGCATGGGCTGTACCTGACATGAGGACAATTCCCTGTGCTCGTGGCTTGGTTCCAAGGAGGAATGCTGCTGGAAATGAATCCTGGGAGAAGTTTCAGTGAGTGATGTGCGTGAAGTGTTAGTGTGCTCCAAAACCTGGCACTGCAGAGCAGCTTTCACTTTGTGGGGTTTGTCTGTGTGTCGGGTGAGACTTCTGTTAAACATGCCAGTGGGGTTTGATTTTCTTAATTTAAGGTGTATTAAAGAAAGGGAGGGAGAGGGTAATGTCCCAAAAACTTTGCCATTTGATGGGAGCTTAATTTTCCCCTCCCACCTTGGTAAACAGGAGCTGGTGTGTTCCGTAAATGCACGTTGGTTCTCTTACATGAGACAGACAAAGCCCTGCTCATCCTAAAGAGCTTTCACTGCACTTGCACTGACTGAAGAGCT